AGGGAGCATTGCCACATTTTAGGTCCACAAGTTTGCTGAACGTAATTGCTGAGAGTGACGTCGAACGTTCAGCAGAAACATTTTACTGAGAACTTGTCTCTAAAATGCAATATAATGAAGACCATTTCAAAGAAAAGCCATCTTCGATTTTTCTCAAACTCTTCAAAATTAAACCCAAGCACGTGCTCTAATTTAGGCTTTAAGGACATGTTGCATCATTTTTGTGAGAATGAAGTTACGAAGCAGGAAAAGTGGTAAAAATGACGTAAACTGTGTAACTGCGGCATCAAGCGAGCAGGAAGCAATAGTGGTCATTATCAATATCTTTAGGCAGTGGATAGGTTTTGTTGATGTTAATAAATGAGGGATTGAAAAAACAGGAACAGATGGTTTCGGATAGCAAACTATAACTACTCTTTTTTCTACGCGTTTCACAAGAAAGTCGCAGCTATGCCACAAAGGTGAAGCAATAAATGCGATAGCAAAAAATTAGGAGGTCACGCGCAGGATGGCAAGCAGATCGATACGTGCCCCATGTTTTTCATGCACAAATAACGCACGAAACGTACTCACAAGTACAGATGAATGTGAATAAGCGTCTGAGTTGTTATTTTTTGTATCTGAAAAGCGCTCTTTTTTTGCAAACGGAGACCATTGACCTCTGGGCACCCAGTAACTACAACAGAATTGTTCCGGCGATACCTAAAGGCTGGCCAAGACAAGCGATCCTCCCCACTGCAAGATAATGGCGCGCAATCGAGCGTACACCCCTTTATTCTCTACGTGGGGCAAATTACGCGTGGAAGAAGAGCGCCTGCCGCCGCGTCGTGACTATGTGACGACACGCGCTGTTTGCGCTATCTTGCTGGTAATGCTGAAGACGCGATAACCCCCCTCCGAGATGCCCGGCACCGGCGGTAAGTGGTAGATATAAATAGTTTGCCGTTTGAGCATTGAGGCACGTGCTCTTCTGTAGCTCAGTAGCTAACGCCTCGCGCTCACGTCTCAGTGGAACCAATTTCAATTCCTCGTCTTCATTTAAGTTTTTTTTTTCTTGCGTTTTCATATATAAAGATACGTATACATATACGGTGAGTGACATCGACGCCGATGCTGGCGGCAAAATCCAGCCGAGAGTGTCCATATAGTTACTGTCGCAATTAGACTTCTTCGTGGATCCCAGCCACTAAGGACGCCACAATGTGGAGTCACATTCTTCGCGAGAATCGCTTGCAAAGTTTTTTGCGAATGCAAGCCAGCGTACACTTCAGGAAGAGTGTGGCTGTAGAGAACCCACGGCTGGATATTCATCGCTTCACGTGGAATGGCGGTAATCTGATAACCTAGAAGGTGTGTAGCGGCACAAACGGTGCGCCTGCTACTCGGCTGCTCTTGCCCTGCTCTCTAAAAAAGAAAGATCACAAAAAGAAAACAGCTTAACTCACCTCAAAAAAGTCGAAGTCATTAGAGAACGTTGGCTTTCGCTTCCGTTCGTCATCCACCACCCGGCCATCACCTGCTAGTCAACGACATATAGTTTCCTAATATACACTAGAGGAAACTCTAGCACTAGTGTCTACTGGAGCTGCGACGCACGGCGCTTCAGAGAGCATGGGAATGATGGGCAGTACACGTATTTGTCTAATCTTCGTACTTCTGGCTTGTTTCTGGCTGCGTGTGTGTTCGTGTGGCTTGGAGCTGTTATCTCATGAATAAAAAATCAGCAAATGAGCAGCGTTTGCGCTTCTTGACCTTATTCTTTTCGGCTCACAATTCCAAATCAGATCATGAAGTTCAAAAGAGTTCGTTCTTTTTTTCCGAACCAAATCATAACCAGCAATAAGCGAAGCCGCAATTACGATTCCACCCGAAAGTACGAAGACTAGGCAAATTCGTGTACTACCCATCAATCCCGTGGTCGCTGAATGATCACAGCAACAGAGTCCCCTCTAGTTAATTTCAGAGAACTCTATGGTCAACGAACGTGATCATGCGCGTTTAGCACTCCTCTGAGATTCATGGTTGTGTTGTGGAACTCAAAGCGAACGTTTTGCGCTGGCTACCTAAACAGGCATAAAAAGAAAGTAGCCTACAAGCGGAAATTCGGAAGCGTGAAAGATCTGAATGTCGCCTTAATAATAAAGCGCATGCCAGAAGAAGCCTCACCCATCAGAGAAACTGACATTTTGTGCCAGAACTGTTTCAACCACTTCAAAGAGATTGCCACTGAGTCTCCGGGAGGATCTGAGTCTGACGAAAATTTTGTTCTAGAACTAAGTGCTGTTGATGAACTAAACATGTTTGTTCAGACAACCGATGCGACACGCCTGAAAATTTCAGCGAAAGTGAAAACACATTTCCGAGCATTCTGCGCCAAGCGTACACTGTAAAAACTGTCCGTCAGAGGCACGGCAAAGAACTACGTAAAGCTCACAGGTGTCTCTCAGCTTGTGGGAAGAAGAAGAAAATGGCCGTGGATGCCAACGGACGTAGTGCTGTTATTGCAGGTACGGAGACAATGTCGTTCTTCAGTGGACAATATAGAAAAGTCCAGAAGTTGTCTGCTCTGATTGGTTATTATCTAGCCGAAATGCCACTACCAGGCCACTTTTTTTTTGGGGGGGGGGGGGGGGGGTCACGATGTGTTAACAGTGAACCTGGGTGCGTGTAACTAACTTTCATTTATTCATTGTTCCTCTTTAATCTTTTTACTGTGATATGAATACTCTTCACATGTTTCCGATATTAGCATTGCCGTCAGGCACCAAATCGATAACAGCTCCCGCAAATCGTATCTTTTACCCGCTGGCGAATGAACGCGAGGGAGCACTACGAACGCGACTGAAGCAAAGGGGAAGCAAGCCGACCCATCTCAGTCGCACGAAGGGCACATGCGATAACATCACCCACGTGTGAGGCATGTCATCGATTTACACTCAGGCAGAGAGGAAACGCCCTGTCTGTCTTGAGGAATGCCGAGGCCAGGAGAAATTAGAGCGAAGCTGTCATATAACTAAATGGGAAGAGAGCTGCCAATTGGAAACTTCAAAAATATTTTCTTTCATGAAACAAAAATTGTAATATTAAAAACTTGGAACATCAAAAGAACTGTTTATTTGCTTTCCAGTTGGATATAAATGTCAAGTTTTTTAGACCAGCACGTGGTGCAAATTGCCCTCAATGCAGACAAAGTTGATGGTTTGGGGAAATTTGTGATTTGTTTCTCGTAAAGTTTAGCGACTTGAGGGGTGCAAAGGTAATTTTTTGCCAAATATACCTTCTATAGAGTAATTAAGAATTTCGCAGATATTCATTAAAAGAGCAGTAATGCAGTAGAAAAACTGCTGACATAACCCCTTTCGGATAAATTATTGTAGGCGTATGTGGCCAAAATTGCGCTAATAATAATTAGCTTGAAACACCTCTCACAGTCACCATTACTTACTATATAGACTAAATTTGGTATTGAAAGAGGCAGTGACACTTTAAAAAATAATTTTTTTCATGGGCAACAGAATTACGACATTCGAATAAATTTGGAAAGCACTCACGAAACCACAATTTTTTTCTTTCTGAAATATTCTATTGATTCACTGTTTTTAATACAGTAAATCAGCACGATATTTCTTCGAATCGATTTGAGGTGGTTGCCAAAAAGGCTGGTATGTTTGGCGTGTAATGACCTCACTAAGAACGGCACTGGCAGCGAGTAATGCTCCCGGCTTGGAGCTAAAGCATCAGCGCTTTTGTGTAAGGAAAGAGTGGGATGAAAGGAGTGGTGGAAAAAGCGAAGAGAAGGGTCTGAACACCTGCACCTTGAGTGTGTCTCGGAGAATATCACAGCAAGTGTCACGTGCTGCCGCCGCGCAATGACACTATTCCAAAAATGCAACCAAATTACACAAAAATATGTGAACATTGTTTAGCGGAACACTCACACCTTCCTTATAGAATTTTTGTGTTTTCGTAAATTTTTTGAAATTTTTATTCATAATCTTTTTGAATGTCAGATAGTGAAATTTCTAAAGACCACTAGCACACTGAGTCCCTCATAATAATAGAGGGGTATTGGGACGCAAACATTTCTGGTTTTCTTCTTTCTTTTCGAGGATTACCCACCACGCGCATTACTCTCCCCCTTTTTTTGGCAGAAACACACAGCAGCCACACTTGTTTGATATAACTGGTAATGCGGCACAGCGGCATTGTTGTAAGCGGACTTTTTTGTCAAAGAGAGCATATAAACATTTGTGGTTCCATCTCATTATCATAACTGATATGTCGTTGAAACCAATAACGATAATATGGTGGGTTTCACACGTTGTTATGAGCTTGCGGGAATTTTCGAATTATTGTGATACCTCTGATGGGAAAATTCATATGTTCTGTCAACGAGCATTTCAGGGTTATCAGATCACGCATATAACAACAAGTAAAAAACCAAGTGCGTTGAAATTACCAGAGCTGGTGCACAATCTTTTTCTTATTCTCGCTCAGGAAGCTTTTTTTTTTCTGTTTTACTCGCTTCTCAATAAAAAAAGTGGTGGGAATGGTAGGCAACAAAAGGGGGTGTACGTGTTTTTCACAACTGAATTCGTGATTTTATCGTGTCAACCAAACAACGCGTACGCATTATTTTCTGGTGTACTTATAATGTTTTTACATGTAAAAGTTAACTACGACAGCCTCACCATTTCTACGAACTGTCTTATTCTCAAGTACACAGGTTACTGTACTGCATTGGAGTGTGTAGCGAATACAACGAGCTTATACCGCAACCTCAAAGCATGGTTTCAATATTGTTTCAACAAGAAACTCCTCAGAGCAAGGGCTCCTTCCCGACACCAGAACACCGCCGCGCGCGCCAATACAGGCTGCCCTGCGCCGGCCCGCTCGCGAACACATCTCTATGATGTGGTCACGTGATGTATGTACGCGGCGCTTGCAAGGTCGTGCATGCGCGGCGCTCGCCAGCCAACACGGACGCTTGTCACGGCGGAACGTCGCGGTCGAGGACTAGTTAGAAACGACCGTGTTCAATGGCGATTTGCGACACCGAGACGTGTATTCGTTGTCCTATTCTGATCGGCTAACCTGTGTTTTGCGTGAAGCCGGAAAATATGCCACCAGAAGTTTACGCAAGGTATCGTTAACTTCACTGCTTCGAGTCACCATTGTGTCGAAGCTTTCCCGCCATGTCGACAAGCGAACAAGTTTTATGGATATCGCTATATGGTAAGCCCTACCTAACGGCTCTCGTGAATTTTCCCCGCCTTCGGCCTGTTAGACTGCCGACAAAATGCCCATGTCTTGAGTGTTTACGCTGCTTCAAAGTCGCACAGAGCCTTTAGTCGCAAGCGGCTTTTTTTTTTTTTTGCGCGCGCGCGGGCTCAGCGTATTTGCAAATTCTATGCAACGGTGTCGCGTGCCCCTGACCACGAACTTGGTTACTAGGGGTTCAGCGGTGGGGGCTTGGGAGCTGCTGTCACGTGTCGTGTTACAGTACGCATTGCGTTCTAGTTGATGAAAATTCCTCTACGTCCCGGGTTAGTGGCCGACAAAACTGCGCATCGAATGCTTTTTGTAGCAGTTGCGTTATCAGGCGACACAAGCGAAGTTCAGTTGGCGTGTTCCGTGTTAATACACAAGCCACTTTGATTAGCAGGGATTGTGACTGCTGGGCTTTATCTGATTGCAATAATGCACTTATGGATATTAGCGAGGCTTATTATGCCTGCAGCGTTTTTTTTTTCGTTTGCAGGTCTTGTGCCGGCAGTAGTTGCTTAAGTTACGTCCAGCTTGTTGTCCTTTTGGCTCTCGCTATTTTCGCAGTGTCCGTTAGTGATTTTCTCGTCTCAGATAGGCGCCAGTGACCTATGCTGTGGCGCAATGCGGCTCTCGCTATTCAGCCATCAGAAAAAATGCATTAAAAAGAGGAAAATGGAAACACCATACGGAAGAGGTCGCCTGATTTGAAGTACCCCGAGGCATGCACAACACGTTAGCACGGGCACTTCCCATGCTTATAGGGCGAAAAGGAACGAAGAAGCTGCCTTCACTGTAACGGTTTGGCAAGAGTGCCGGCACATCAACTCTAAACGGTATAGTCCCCATTGCCGGGGCTATATCTACTTCCGTCAATGTCTGGACCTCGTGCCCGCAAGTTTTTTTGAAAAAAAGCAGCTCACTCGGTTTCTAAAAGAAGGGGTTCAAAGTTCATTGAGTGGCTGCCGCCTTTAACTGCAGCTCAATGAAAGACTTTGAAGGTCTCTGAGATATGCCGTTGTCATTGCTCAGAATGTTTGCAGTGATATCGATAGCACTACTTGGTATAATGTAGTACGACTGTTGCTGGTAAACATATTGTAATACTATATTTTAAAAACATTTTGCATTTATCTCGATACCCAGCATCAGAGAAAATGTGACACGCGGAAGAATTAACAATAAAAATCTAACATGAAACTGAAATACACTTGCATATTTAATTGAACGTTTAGGTACATAGAATTAATTGCATGCCAATAATAAATGGCTTCATTTGGTGCTGTCCCTGGGAGTTGAAGCCAGCGGTGCTTGTTAGATTGGGTATACTTTAATTTGGCCAGGCCACTTTGCTGTCTGTGCAACTTCAGAAAATTTCGGAAGCACCAGCTGAACAGCGAAGTGAGTGCACTACGTTGTGCTTTCACACTGGCTTATTAGAGTGCAGGTGTTAGTGCAATTCAACACTTTGCATACTTTTTATAGATGGCACAGAATATATACTGTAGAATAGCAAGTGAGTGTTTTTGCCTTCTTTGGACGATTTCAAATATGAGGCCGTTTGTCTCCGATAAAATTTTCACTCATTATGCTGTTTATGCGCCAAACTAAAACAGGTAATGCATGTGTGTGTAGCTTATGAAGAACAATGCTGCACTACCCCTCTCCCCTCTCTATCTCCAAAAGACGAAGTGCTGCTGCCATACTTGCTTTTTTTTGTTTGAATGCCTAAGTTTTTTGCTACGTACTGCAGGTAGCAAACAGAAGTGCCCTAATGAACTGTGCAGTGCTGACCACACGCTGAGCGAGCATCCCTTAAGAGGTGCTTATTCAGCATCTGTGGCTAACTCAAAGGTAATGTACAAAGTTTCATTAATGAAGAAGAGTGTTGTTTTGAGCAAGTCATGTAGAAGTGAAAATGTTGAAAAATGAGTTAGGGTATACCGAGTGACATCAGGATGTATGCTACCTACCAACTCAACATTATTCATGCCAAAGTGTTAATTATGTGCAACCTTTATTGAAGGAAGAAGTGCAATGGTTTCCATGAATGAGAAAGGTGGAAAATTGCTGCACAACCAGTCACGGGGTTTTTTCACTTATTATTATGTGGCCCTTATTCTGGTGACCTCCTACTGAGATAAAATTGCTTCACATAAACGACTGTAGAAAGGGTCTTGCTAGCTATATGAAGAAATAATTGTTATCAAAGTTATTAGTTACAATAAATCAAGCTGTAAAAGAGAACTTCACCTATTTGTCACCATGGCGAGTGCATTTCGTCTGGAAACGTGACTTGGTTTCGCAACGTGTTGCCTTTCTGTAGAATGGGGTACTAGCAAGAGGAATTCACAAAAACTGTAAAGCTTTATTGTTTCTTGCAGCAAGCATTCTTATCTTATTGTAAATGCATGCACAGTGTGATGAATAGTGACCCACTTTGGATCTCGGCTGCGGCGGCTGCATTTCCGATGAAGGTGGAAATGTTGTGGACCCGTGTGCTCACATTTTGGTGCACGTTAAAGAACCCCAGGTGGGCGAAATTTCCGGAGTCCTCCACTATGACGTCTTTCATAATCATATGGTGGTTTAGGGACGTTAAACCACACATATCAATCAATCACTTTAAAGTTTACAACCTTATCTTTGCAGTGTTTTGGACTGTCTTTACTGCAAGCGAATTGTTTCCGCCAAACATGAACCTAGTTTTTACCAATTTTCAAGGCGAATTGCAAATTTTTCTGTGTGCATTTGCAAACGCAGTTTCACCTCTGATGCTAAACAACAGGCTAGAGTGATGTGCCTGATTTTTGTCTATAAATTTTATAGAATGCCTAAAATGGACTCTTCTACTTGGCACAATTATTAGCTGCTGTGTGTAGGTTCTGTGCATCTACATATAAACATAGAAAATGTGGCTGGTACCATTGAATACTGTTTTCAAAAGCTTGTATACACTGTGAAATCTTGCTGGTTCCAAAATTTGTTGTGGGTGTACGGTGAAGCCACTGGTAGCTAGCAACACTGCATTGTTGCAGATAATTGCACAATGGAGCATTTTTCACCTGATCACGTAATTCGAGCACATGTTGATCTCGTTCACTGTGGTACGACCTAGCTACAAAGTTCAAGCATCTGCATCCTCCATACCAGGAACCCTCAAGTGAAGCAACATGATGCTGTGATGGGGGCAGCTAACCGAGATCTGGGTTTTTTCTGCTGTCAATATCATTACACAGGTTTGCTAAGCGCACTCGAGTAGAGTCAGTAGGCACTTGCAGCTACAGAGTCAGCAGTGACAGCACATTTCAGTGGCAGAATTACCTGTATATAGCGTTTTCAAGAAACTCTATTATTTTGTGACACCTTAACGTCTCAGCATGCTCACTCATTTCTTGATGGTGGGACATCACAAAAGCTATAATTTCTTATATCATGCAAAATTATTTCATCATTTTTTTATATTGTATAATAAATTTATGCTTTTAAAATGCTTCCTCCCCAACTAAAGCTTAACTTCTGCTGGATTGTCTCATGAGTGAAAACAAGAAAACCAGGCCAGGGAAAGCAATGAGATGCTCCATTATAACAGAAGAGAGTACTGCTGTGGTTCAGTCTATAGCTGGATTTTTTTTTTTAAGGCACCAATGTGGATTTCATGTGAATGTTTAGAGAACATAATTGTGCTCTGCTATTTTTGTTACCTTTAAAAACACCTCCCAAAAGCAGTGCTACAATGATGTGAGACACAAGTGCTTTTTAACGAACGTATCAGATGCCTGAGAGCCATGGGCCGGCTTCTGGCCTACACAGACAGTGCAGCCACCGCAGTGAAGTTCTTGCAAAGGTGTGAGACATTCCTATGTTGCATAGATTGAGCATGTTAATATTCAGTTTTATAGCTTATAGGAATATGTCTACAAAAGTAATTCCCTGCACAGTGGGTTTTATATTCTCTCAAAGTGCTAATAGGCAGCTTTGGCTCTGTCTTTCTTTTTCATCACCTTCCAGACCATCTTGCTAATTCATACAGAGTGCTGCAGCAATCGCATTGTGTGAGTATCACAGAAACTTCATTTCGAAAAACAATTATAGTCACCCCCTTCATTGCCTGACCAGTGTATACTCTTCGCTAGCAAAGTAATGTAATGCTGCAGTGACTGTCGGTTGGTTCTCTCTGCAATATGAAATAGTGCTTTGGCCCTAAAGTTACCCCGTATAGATTGTGCCGTTTTGAGGCATGCTGCATATTTGTTTATCTTACCTATGCCTTGCAAAGTACTTCCTTACCATGCCGATCTGGTACAGCGGCACATCAACAAGGCCTTGCTTAGTTGTCGGCGGCACGTTGATTGCATAATCACTGACGTCTTGCTTTGTTGCCTTATGACTGTAGTCATGATGGTAAGTATGCGTACCCCTCTTCACGATGAGAACAATGGAGAAGCCAAGTGAGAAACTGAAAACAGCTGCAATGTGTGTTTCATTGGCTGTGCCTTCATCATTTCTTCATGAGAACACAAAATTTGTGGCAACTTGGTCACAATTTTCAATTTCGCAGTTATCAGAAATTTCAGATGGTGGGGTTGTTTAGTAGTTTTTGACATTTCAATTATGAATGGTCAATTTATGCACTGCATGGCTTGTTTATTTATATTTTACAATGCTCATCTGTAAAATAGTCTGCAGCTTCTGTCACTATTTAAATGTTCATTATACGAAACATTCTGTATGTTCAATATGTACCATCAACAGCAAAAGTTTGCGGGACACGAAATGTTCGATGAAGCTAAATTCTCACTTTCTCTGAGAATGTAACTTTGAAATAAATATTCCATACTGCACTTCGCATTCCGACCTATGCAGTCACCAGTCTCATTACAAGCGTTAAGTACCGACATAGCGGAAATTCGCATTTGTTGTGGATTCAACATGTACCAAACTTTTCCTGTTGATAGTACTTTCATGGATTTTGCATGGCACTAGAGCCACCTCCTTTCTCGCCTTTTGCAGCTACATAGCTGGAAGTTCATTGCTTTGCTGCTTTGTTTACCTAATACCTGTTCAACCAGCACATCTAAAACGGCGTTTCGTGTGTACTTGCATCATGAGGTGTTTATATTGTAATAGTCGTGAAGTTTTTTTCGGTCTTTCGGCTTTGAATTTTTGGCAATTTAACTGCTGTTTTTAGAGCAATCTGTAGATATCAATATTGACTCTACTAAGCTTTGGTTCAGAAAGAAAAGCTGAGCAGTCGCCGAGGTGCATGGCCGGCGCCAGAGCATTCGAGGTTACCAGAAATAGATTCTAGGCCCAATTATATGTGGCTCCTTGCTAGTTGCGTGTCTTGCTTTTACTTAGAGGTATTTTCATAGTCCTAAAATTTACCTTACGTTGCTTACAGCTAGGCTACCATGTCAACAGACCCCGCACTCAGCGAATTTGATCTTTGGGGCAGCAGTCACTTTAGAAGGAGGCTAAAACACTAGAGACTTGAGTGCTCTTGAATTGACATTCAGATTCAGAACCACATTATTGTTGTTACATCAAATGAACAAAGTGGTAATTCTAGATTGTATACATATTTCAAATAGGAGAGGTGAGCTGCTAAGTAGGTTGGTATTCATGTTAAAAAAACAGGGCATGCAAACATGGACTCGAGAGAATAGTCAAGACACCGCAAACACCAACTAGAAAAGTTTACATTAAGCTAGAAACAAAACAAGGCAAGTGGAGATATCGATCAAGATGGCATGCCTGTTGGTCTATGTACGAGATAACTGCACAGCATTTGATTTCCTCATTGAGTTACATGTCGCTATGCCAAGCCTTAACCATTCCATGCATTTCTTCATTTCTGTGCTTGTACGAAACTGCATGATTCGAATTTCGGCATGCATTATTTCCTGATATAAAGATATGTTCAATGATGGGCCTCTGGTTAGCTGTCTTATATGTTCCGTTAGTCTGCCATCTCATTGTTAGTTAGTATTTGAAGTTGCTGACTCACCTGAGGCCATGTTTGCATGCCCAGTCTTTTCAACATATACTGCGTAAGGAAAATAGGTTATTGAGTGAATATTAAGAAGTTAAATTTATATCTAGTGTAAAATGTTGAGTTTGTTTTCTCTGTTGGACTTCTTGTTTAACAATGAATGGGCATTATTTTGGAGTCTGCGAATAGTGTATGAGATATACATACATAAAGCAGCAGCTGTTAGCATGCTTTCAAGGCTAGTACCTCATGAGGTCACGAAATTTAAGTTGTGTTGCATGAGGCATGCTAGAAAAGTGAATTGTTTCTGATGTTTTTTTTTGTTTTTTAGGTGGACATTCTACAAAAACTGGCCCAAATGCGGACAGAAGGTAGTAGAGATGGACACACAGAAGCCATCAGGCTGCCTCAGAAACTGTGACTGATCAATAACCTGTAAGTATTTGCGAGTTCAAGGTGAAGTGGTTTTTTGACCATTTGCAATATTTTCCAAAACTAGTGTTTTGATGCCTCAATGTGGGCAGAAGTTATTCCAGCACTATTTTGGAGGAAAAACTCTAATACAGCAGAGTCCTTTCAAACCATATGCTCAGAAATTCAGTCATCGGAGAAAACTAACTGACACAGCCCCGCCACGGTGGTTTAGTGGCTAAAGTACGCGGCTGCAGACCCGCAAGTCGTGGGATCGAATCCCGGATGCGGCGGCTGCATTTCAAGTGGAGGTGAAAATTCGTAGGCCCGTGTGCTCAGATTTGGGTGCACGTTAAAAAACCCCAGGTGGCCGAAATAACCGGAGCCCTCCCCTACGGCGTCTCCCATAATCATAGCGTGGTTTTGGGACATTAAACCCCACAAATCAATTAATTAAAAATACCTGACACATGATTGTTGCTTCATGCTTTTACCCCAGTCTTTGTTTCTTTGTCAGAAAAATTTATAACAATGGTATGAAATTATTTTTCTTTTAATTGATGCTAATTTTGGTCGCGAAGAAACATGGCAAATTGGTACTCGGCTGCTGACCCGCAGGTCGGGGGATTGATTACCGGCTGTGGCGGCTACATTTTCAATGGAGGTGGAAATGTTGTAGGCCCGTGTTTTTAGATTTGGGTGCACGTTAAAGGAACCCAGATAGTCAAAATTTCCGGAGCCCTTCACTATGGCGTCTCTCCTAATTATACAATGGTTTTGGGACGTTAAACCCCACATATCAATTGAAAAAACATGGCAAAATGCGGTGTTTTAGTATAGTTTTTACAAGAGTGATTCTTTCTTGTAAAATTAAATTACATTGTTTGCTTCAAGTGCATTTACCAAGAGTTTAAAATACTTCTGCTCTTAAAAATTGAAGGCACCTTCACACATTTTTACCCTGGGTTCTTTGGCTGACAAGACACTCATTGAAGCATAAACGTAAAGGGTGAGCAATAAATTGAGAAGAAAGGCTTACTGTCGATATCTTAAAATTATATCAAACACTACATGACAGTTGTCTTATTATGGGAAAAGTTAAGATGATGATAGGGGGAGGGGCTTAAATGAGGGTCAAATAAATAAAGTTTGTTGTTGTAGCCAATCAAGATTTTTCGAGAATAAGTAATTTTAAATGGTCGAACAAAAATCAATCGTCTAAGTTGTGGCAGTAAACTTGATACGGTTTATTGCTCTGGTAAACGGATGTCCTCTTATTGAATCACTCATGTTTAGCATCATGGACATAGTGTTATAAAACTGTTGAGCAACCAGACCCGTGCTAAATACCTAGTTTTCTGCAGCGTAAGTTATGCACCCAGTATCATTACAATAGAAGAATTTGTGGCAGTTTAGGATTTGTAATGAATGTGTTGAGATGTATACCTGATGAAAAAAAGTCATTGAACATATGTTAGAGCTTGCTATTCGACAACTTAACTTTTCTTTAGCGAGGCAGCAAACTGCATATAGGTTGCTGCCACAACTTAGAAGAATTGTCTTATTCAAACATTGGCCCAAACAACACACTTATTTAGCAATATGACACTCATTCAAGCCCCCATCTTCGTGTTAGCTCCTGCCATAATAGCATGTACAACTGTCATGTAGTGTTTATTGGATTTAAAAAAAACTATAGAGGCAAGCCTTGCTTCTTAGTTTAATACTCACCGTTTGTGTTGATACATTACTCATTGTCTTCATCAGGCTAATACCTCCACCATGATGTTATGAATAAGGCGGCTTTTGCCCATCCAGCACTTTGTCACGCGCAGTGACAGAGTGCTGGATGGGTTGAGGCTACGGAAACGACAACTAAGTCCTGATCCTCTTATCTCACAGCTCCTGTTTCTCGCTCCAAATTTGCCGTTCCAATTTGTTCCCTGCCCCACGTAGGTCTTTGCAGTGGTCTACAATATGCTTTGTCCTGTGTAGGATTTCATTTTATAATGCAAAATTCTTTTGTTCGTCCGATATAACTCTCCATGTTGTCAGTAGTTACAGAAAACGTAACTGCCGCACCATGGCACTAATTAAACGAAATTGTTATGCTAATCTCTAAATTCTTTTGCAGTTAGAAAATAGTGTGTTTAACGTTGAGTTCTTGTCTACTATAGCAATAGGTCTTCGCAGCATCCTGCCTCTCTTTCTGCATGTGATCAGTTCTTGTCCAGAAATACAATCTGCTTTTGTGATTCAAATAGTGGTATAAACAGAGGTGATGTACGTAGTAGGCACCATAGTGGTTTAAACTCTGAATATTGCTGCTGCTACAATAGTTCTTTTTTTTTACTTCTTTTTCACACATACAGAAAGGAGCTAAGTGGAGCTGTTCATAGGCGGGCTTTCAGCACTTTTCACAATTATGTTTCTGAATACATCTGCCAAAGTTGTATAAAAAAAGCGTGTAGTAGTACATTTCATTGTTAATTTGGCACGCAGCCGCAGGTACGACTCACACATCTGCAAGATAACGCAGCACAGTGCATATAGACAAACTACCCCCCCCCCCACACACTCTGTATTTGTGGCTTGATGGTAAATTGTTTACTCTGACCTTGCACAGCAAATAATAACAAAATGACGAGAAAGCTTTGCCATCTATGCAGGTAGCGTTCTCAGTATATGCTGGCAATAAGTGTGCAAAGTTCAACCATCCACTGGTCACATATTTTCTTGTAAACTTTTATAGATAGAAGGGTGGGTGTTTGGAAGCTGATACATGGTAACGAATGGATGGCGACTCCAAAAGTTTTCTGTTTTCTCACCTTTGTACACGAGGTGGCATAGTAAAATTGCTCAGGCAGCAGCTATGTCTTGTCACTCAGCAGCGTCTAACAAGCTCTGTGTCAGAACATGTTGCATGGAAAACTTAAGCAACATCCTCTTTACGTTCTTTAGGTTTCGGTGACCATTTTTCAATTGTTTGGTCCATGGAATTTGCGTTGCAATATTTGCATTATACTTTACCGATTACCTCACTCAAATCTTCAGTGCTTTTCGGTATTTTATTTTATTTTTATTTATTTTCAGATTTACTGCCAGCCTTTGAAAAAGGCCTTTGGCAGGAGCGGGCAGAACAAATAAAAGAATGCGAGAACATACGCAAATACGTCCACAAAACAACCGCAACAATGAGCGGGAACAAAATAAAAACAAAAAATATACAATTACGCAATCAACAAAGTGACAGCAGGTACTTTTAACAACTTGTTTGGTACTAAGCCAGACCTACACTGATAAAAACTATTAATAATATACAAGACATGACTGGAAAGAGCAGGAGAAATCTGGACCGAGGTGCACCGCTAAACAAAACAGAGCTACAATGTGACACACTCACATCAACAACAAAAAAGAAAAAAAAACATCAGAACAACATTATTGTTTCGCAATCACATATCAGTTTGCAGAAGTCGCGATACTAGGAAAGCGGAGTGACGACCAAGATACCGAAAAAATTACAGATAATCTGACAATGCTTTAGCAAAAGAATTTAGTGTAGTACAATCAATTACATTGGATGGAAGTCGATTCCATTCACGCGTTGTTCTCGGAAAAAAGGAGTTTTTGAATGTGTCTGTTTTACAGCTAAAATCCTTTATCTTTTTCGTGTGGTGTGATCGCGTCGAGCGCTTACCAACCAGGTCGATAAAATTACTCTTGTCTATTGCCAGTTTATCATGATAAAGGGAGTACAAAAACTTGAGCCGTTCAAGCTGACGTCTCTTTTGCAATGTATCCAGCTCTGATTCTGCCAAGATTGAAGTTACAGATACTTGCCAGCGATAGCAATTATGAACAAACCTGATGCCCTTCCTTTGAACGAGTTCTAGTTTATCAATGTTGTTTTTTGTGCACGGATCCCATATAACTGATGCATATTCGAGGGAGGGCCTAATGAAAGTTTTGTAAGCCAGTAACTTTATTTCCTTGGTTGATTTTCGCAATGACCTTCGAAGGTATCCAAGTTTACGCATGGCTTTATTTGTAATATACGAAATATGTTCATTCCATCTAAGGTCCGAGGGTAATAATTACGCCTAAATATTTGTACCTTTCTACAACGGAAAGAGTGTGATTATCTATGGAATATGGAAAGCTTAGGGGATGCTGTTTACGCGTTATTGACATGGCTACCGTTTTAGCCTTGTTAACACTCATTTGCCACGTTGAACACCAAGTTTGTATTTTCGCTAAAGAAGAATTCAAAAGAACTTGGTTGCAGCGGCTTTGAATTTCATGATAGAGGATGCAGTCATCTGCGAATAGTCTAATTTTTACTGGTATATCCTGTACTATGTCATTAATGAACACAAGAAAGAAAAGTGGCCCAAGCACCGAACCTTGAGGTATAGCGGATATAACTGTCTCTGCTGGAGAGCACGTACCATCAATTGTTACACATTGTCGTCTTAAATTTAAGTAATTTTTTATCCATGACAGAAGTGTATCGTTCTTCAGTATGGGTTGAAGTTTTAAAAGCAGCTTTTGGTGCGACACGCGATCGTACGCTTTTTCAAAATCTAGAAAAATAATACCTGTTTGACCTTGCCTGTCAAGCGTTTTGGCGAGTTCATGTACTGTTTCTAATACTTGTGTTACGGTAGATAGACCTTTTCGGAAGCCGTGTTGCCTGGGGTCAATAAGTTTGTTTTCTTCTAGAAATGTTGATAAGTGCTTGAACAAAATATGCTCCAATATTTTTGCACTTGTACACAAGAGGGTGATAGGTCTATATGAAGTAACCAAATGTGGAGTGTTTGATTTAGGTATAGGCGTAATTTTACCCTATTTCCAGTCTTCTGGGATCTTAGATTGGGATAAGGATTTGTTAAATTTAAGATGCAGATAATGTGAGCTCCATGTATACCTTGGGCAATACGTTCACGGACTACACACCTGCGCATTATCGGTGGAAGGTATTCTACAAAATACACTAGGATATTGCGACGCCACTCCTA